GGGAGGAGGAGGAGGGGGAGGGCTGGGGGAGAGAAGAAGAGGATGATGGATGAGAGAAAAAGAAAACAGAGCAAGAAGCGAAGGAGGGAGGGAGAGAGAGAGATGAAAGAGAGAAAGGGAGGGCCAGGGAAGGGGGAGAGGAGCTGGGGGGGAGGACCGGGCTCACCGTCAAGGGGTCAGCCACCAAAGCCGCCACGCTGTTCCGCATCTCATTCTCGCTGCCTCGCAGGGGGATGAGGGAGACGTGGCCCAGCCGGGAGTCGGGGGGCGCCTGGGGCAGGCGGACCTTGGACGCCTCCGAGGGCCAGAGGTTGCCTCCGTGCTGGGGGGGGGGGGGGGGGGAGACAGAAAGAGGTGAGGGGGGTTGCATCCAGGCCACGGATCGGGGTCAGCGCCCCACTCCCGGGCCCTTCAGCGATGCCAACCTCACCCTGCTCTGGGTGGCCCAAATGGGGCAAGTTCCTAGTCCTCATGGCCTTGACGGCCAGGCCCGAATCTCAGGAATTGCAGAAGCTTGGAAAGCGACCCCAGGGGTGGGGGGGGGGGGGGGGGGGGGGAAACTTACTGCCAGCACAGGGCGAGTGTGCAAACACCCCTGGCAGCGCAAGCGGTGGTGCAAATACTTCCCCCACCTAAGCAGCCCCCCCCCCCGACCTGGGCTCCCCCAAAATTTGGAAGCCGACTCCTCGTCTCGACAAAACTCCTTTTTTTATTAGGCTCAGATGAATATTCCTCTCATTCGCATCCAGCAAACCGTCTTTCAAGGGTGAATTGACAACCACAGAGCTTTATCGGGCTTGGAGAGCTGCCAGGCCGAGAGCTTCCCAACGCCACACTGTAGCAGCGATTACTTGGCAAGAAGTTATGGAACCAATCTTCACCCTCATGAATTGAGCTAACTGTCTCCTGCAACCACCACTCCCCTTTCGCTCCTCTTTTATTCCCTATGGGAGGGGCCATTCCCCATCCACCTGAGCCCTTACTCCCGAGTCGACCCTTGTTCCTTAACTTTTCCCTTCCTCTGGCGGCTCTGTGCATGTGCCCCCTGGGAACAGGCTCCAGCTGTTCTTCTTCCCTACTGATCTCTGACACCGAAGGCAACCACCACACCCCTTTCGCTCCTCTTTTATTCCCTAAGGGAGGGGCCCATTCACCATCCGAGCTTTTACTCCTGAGTCAACCCTTAGTTCCTCTGGCAGTTCTGTGCATGGGCACATCAGGCTCCAGCTATTCTTCTTCCCCACTGATCTCTGACTCTGAAGGCAGCTGATACGACAGCTGTCAGACAGCCTGGGCCCCCGTCTCTGCCTCCGACGCAGAGCCTTCCCCAGACTCCAGGACTGGCCCCTGCTCCTCCCCAACCTCCTCACGGTCTGCGTCTAACTGCCAAGCTGGCCAATGAGAGGCCACGACGCTACCCAACTACCCTGCTTGCTCAGAGCAGGCCCAATCCCAGGATGCAGGCGTGGAAGGCCAAGGAAGGAGACCCTCCCTGGAACGCCCAGGTACAAACGCCCAGGTGGAGGCTGCCCTGCCTTACCTGCATAGAGAGGAAGTTGGCAAACCACGTTCGCATTTCCATCTGGGTGTCACAGCAGAGGTACCTGCCGGCGGGGGGGGGGAGAAGGGTGAGAAGGAGAAGCAATCCCCCCCCTCCATCCTGGCCCTCCCCCCAAAAAAACAGAGGTTTGGGCGCAGGGCCTTTCCTGCAGCGGTCCCCCCATGGTGTGGGACATCCCCTCCGCCGATACGAGAAGGGCCCCCAACCAGGGACAGGAATCCACCGGTTTGCACCGGTTCGGCAGAACCGGATGTTCAATTTCCACCTGGTTCACCGAACCGGGATTCGAACCAACTGGCTGGCCCCGCCCAGGAATCTCCTTATGGCCCGTTTTCCATGCAGGTCAGGGCAGGGTCCGCACGGAGACTCTGGGAGGGGGGGAATAACGGCCCTCCCGGAAGTTCCGGTAAGCCACGCCCAACATGGCCACACCCACCCAGCGCCTGGGCAGCGAACCGGTTGTTGGGGTTTTTTGAATCTCCCGGTCAACTAAAAAATATTCCTGGGGTCTTTTTAGTTGCCAGCAGAAAAGGGAGGGAAGAAAACAGTGCATTCCTTAAATGCTGCAGATAATCGCTAGGCGGCCGAAGCTGTTGGCACAGAAGATTATTACTGGAGAGCCTGACTGATGATTCTTGGCTATGGATGTGTCCCATTGGAGAATATACATCCAGGGGTTTGGGGCGGGGGGAAGACCAGGGTCAAGGGGGAAATGAATGATGTATTTTAGTGTCGGCTGCACCCAGCTAACGCCGACATGGCCACTCCGAATAAATCAATTTTTTTTTACTCAGAGATGCGGCTAAAGACTTAGGATTGGAATGGGGGCGGGGTGGATTTGTTGGAGTCCTGACACCCACCCCTGCTGGCCTTTGGCAAGATTTTAAACCCCTGGCTGGGCTCCTGAGCTTGGGGTGCTGAATGAGGATTGTCGCCCCGTTTGGCAAGTTATGGCAGTTATTCAGCAAATCGCTCCCGTTGTTAAGCGAATCGTACCCACGCGACACACACACACACACACACCTCTGGGACACTGCAAGCATCATAAGTATTTTTGAATTTTGATCAGGTGGCCGTGGGGATGTTGCAACGGTTGTCGGTGTGAGAAAGGGCTCATCAATCACTTTTTTTTTTTTTCAGTCAACTAAACCAATTGTCGTAAGTTGAGATCACTACCTGTACAGGTAAGCGACTAAGGATCTCGGAAGCTGTGCCTATTTATTTGGCATGTTTTTACGGTTTTTAAAATGCATGTTGTTTGCATTGTTTTTATACTTGGGGAATTGTAAGCCGCCCAGAGTCATTCGTTGAGACAGTTCTAGTCCCGCCTTAGGGAGGAAAGCCAACTGGGGGACTCTGGGCCAATTGCTAGGAGACGGTGAGTTCTAGTCCCACCTTAGGCAGGAAAGCCGACTGGATGACTCTGGGCCAATCGCCAGGAGACGGTGAGTTCTAGTCCCACCTTAGGCATGAAAGCCAACTGGATGACTCTGGGCCAATCGCTAGGAGATGGTGAGTTCTAGTCCCGCCTTAGACATGAAAGGCAGCTGGGAGACTT